TATATATATATATATATATAGTATTTCCTGTTACCCTACTAATCAATGCGTAGCGGAAACCAACCAGCTATTCATTAATACTCTCGCGACGTTTAAGCTCCATGGGACTAGCATGGAAGTTTGCGGAAGTGGTCTGTATGATCTCTACAGCGGCCATTTTCTCTAGGAGAGTGGTCGGCATAACCTCAATATAGGCCATTTTTTCCGGTGATTTATTTCAACACTCCTCCCAACGGTTTGACGCCACGTTGTGGAGGGTAGATGCTTCTGGATGCCGGGGCTGCGATGTACAGTGAGTGATTCATTTCTCCACCTGGGTCTCCAAACCTGAGAAGAAGACCGGTGTTTTCATCCGAAGGCCCAGCTTAGGGTAGACCTATACCAGGAATCACCACCGTCCCGGTACCATACTAGTCGTGAGGTGGCAAATCTCCCTCTGATCAACAATGGCGGCGACTTCCTGGGGTGGTGGCGATTTGAGAAATGCTTTTGCCAGGCTGACTTCGGGGCTCCATGGAACACAACTGGCTAAACCTACAAACATTGGAATAAAAATTATGCTGTATCCTGTAAAACCAGTGACGACGGGTCATCCAAATATTCAAGTTAGTAAATATTTTAACGTTTAGAACCGTTTTTCTATACTTTTTCAGTTAATCGATCTCCCTCATATGAGGGATCTCGAGCCGGTTAGTCGCGAGGCTACCTGGCGTGTCCTCAGGTGGAGGATAGGAGGTTAATCGCGGACCAAAAGCGACCTTTGCTTTCCTGAGATGCAGGTGGATTCAGGGGATGGACTCGCTGTTTCTGCTGCGCTGATTTGGTACATACTTTCCGTATTTGCAAGGCATATTCATGTATGCGTGTGTGGGTACGTTCTCGCTTATGTGGATTGTATTCTGCGACTTAATTAGGCCAAAAGCCTGCAATCAAGTGATAAGGAAGTATATGGGAGGCGGTTAGGAGTCGCCTCCAACAAATAAGCTCCATGTCCACTCCGGGAAAGCCTGGGAAGCTACCGGTGAGTATACCTAGCCCCACGTCCACAGCCCGGCAAACAATACGTGCGTATTAAAATGCCAAACACAGTAGAAAAAACGGACCTCATTCTCCTGACTCCGAAAGAGCCCCAAATTTCGCAGCGTTGGGTAGGACGAGTACGGAGAGGCTGCTAAAATCTCAGGGCCAATGTAAGCTGCCTAGATTTCAAAGAACTATGGTGGCGATGTGTACCTACAATGCACGTGCGCTTGCGTCCCAGTCCTCGATAGAAGACTTGCTCGTGCAAGCAAGAAGGATAAAGTACAACGTCATCGGCTTGACCGACGAGACGAGAAGACGCCAGCCTTTCAACGCCGTCTATGACACCGAAGAAGAACTGTTCCTCGGAACATGCGACAGTAGAGGAGTCGGCGTTCTCGTCAACACGACTTTGTCCATGAACATCGACTCATTCGAACAACTTACAACCCGAATCGGACGTTTACGATTGAAAAGACGTAGATCAATTCCGGCTTTGACAATCTTCGTCGTTAACGCGCCCACATCAATGTATGACGAAAAAGAAGTCGAAGCGTTTTATATGGGCTTGGAGAAGTTCTACAGAGAAGACCACACATCATTCAAGGTCATTGGACATTTCAACGCCATGATTGGACCGAGAAGAACGTCTGAAGAACGTTATGTTGGGACTCACGGATTAGAATGGAACGAACAGGATCAGCGGCTATCTGAGTTTATCATGGCGACCAAGACAACCCATGGTAACTCCCAATTCCAAAAGCCCATCCTCAGCGCTGGACGTGGGAGCCTCCCAATGGAGAATACTAATAACGAAATAGACCACACCATAGTAAATAGAAGGTTTTGCCTAACCGATGTCGCTGTTGTATCAAAATTCTACACGGGTTCAGACCATCGCCTCTTTCGTGCAAGATTCTATTTCTCGCGGAACGGAAAAAAAGCCGCTAAATTCCAAAACCGAAATCCCAGAACCACCGCAAACTGGGACTTATTTTAATTCATTAGTCGGCTGCTGGGAAGATCCCGTTGTCGATAACAACGACAAAGAACACGATCGACTCATTGAACATCTTCACGTTAGCGCTATGAAAGCCGAGAGTTCGAATGTCACCAAGAGACGTTTGTATCCAGAAACACTCGAGCTGATACGCCAGCGTGGAATCGCACGAGCTGCAGGCAACCGCGAACTAACGTCCGAACTTGCAAAACAATGCAGACAGGCAATAAATGAAGATCTTAAAGAGAGAAGAGCAGCAGTAATGGCCAAAGCTGCAGGGGTTGGGAAAAGCTTTCGCAAAGTCCACCGAAGCTTCGCCAATTACAAGACCAAAATGATTGCTCTCCGGTGCCCAGGCTGAACAATTACAGCGTCCAGAAAGGCAATGGAGAAAATCATTTAGGAATACTACTTAGATCTCTTCGATAGCGACGTCCACCTTCCGTTATATAAAATAAAGAAGGATGGATTGTACAACCGGTTCTCCTTTCCGAAATCTGACATGCCATTTCGTCGGTGAAAAATCGAACAGCACCAGGTCCGGACAGGATAACACCAGAACACCTGAAGAACCTTCCACCAGTGCTCGTAAACACACTGGCTCGGCTCTTCACACGTTACCTGTCTGAATGCAAGGTGCCTACTCAGTGGAAGACCAGCAGGACCGTGTTATTGTTCAAGAAAGGTGACCTACACGATATCGGCAGCTATCGTCCAATCTGCTTGTTGTCTGTCGTCTACGAATTTTTCACTCGAGTCATCCTAAACAGGATTGACAGAACACTAGACGAAGGACAGCCATGTGAGCAAGCAGGGTTTCGAAAAGGATTTAGTACGATGGACCACATCCACACGGTAACAAGGCTCATTGAAGTATCGCGGAAGCTCTGCTCAGTACATGAAGATTCTTCGTGAGCTGTACAAAAATTTCATAACCAAGATATCGCCCTTCTACAACGATATTAACATTGACGTCAAAAGAGGAGTTAGGCAAAGCGATACCATGTCGCCAAAATTATTTACCGCCACCCTCCAGAACGTCATGCGAACATTGGAATGGGATGATATGGGAGTGAAAATCGATGGTCGGCAGTTACACCATCTTCGCTTTGCCGATGACATCGTCCTTATAACACCAAACATTAGCCAAGCGGAGCGTATCCTTGACGACTTTGATAAAGCCTGTGGAAAGATTGGTCTTCGGCTAAATCTCACAAAAACGATGTTCATGAAGAACGGATTGGTTTCGCATGCCCCATTCACGCTCAACGGAACGAATATCTGCGAATGCTCCAGTTATATCTATCTAGGTCGGGAAATCAGTATGATGAACGACCTAGCTCCAGAGTTGAGGTTGAGCAGAAGAAAACGAGCGGCTTGGAGAACTTTCAAGAGCATTGAGGATGTAGTGAAGAGGACAGAGAACACCCGACTCCATGCCCACCTTTTTGACTCAACGGTACTTCTTGCCCTAACGTATGCGTGAGAAACCTGGTCGCTGCGTAAGCAGGATGAAAGGTCATTCACTAGAGCGAGCAGAACCCACTGAACTACTCTTGCACGCGACAGGGAAAATGGAAGATTTACTGACGCCAGCTCGAGTCACTCGACGATCAACGGGACTACAGGTGATACAGGTGATTTTCGATAATCGATAGCTAATACGACGCACTCACTGTGTAGGCATCGACCATGGATGGGTTACATCATAATAATCCCTTACATAATAATTCACAAGGAACCTCTTCTTGGACGCAGAGACTGTTGCGTTTCAGGAGGGGACGTTTCAGGAGAGAATACACCTGCAGTGTATTCGAACATTGAAATTTGACACTTAGAGAGGGTTTTTCGCTATGATGTGATGATTATTCGTGAGGGAAACGTCTCCGGAGTATGATGTACGATTTATATACACTATATATATATATATATATATATATATATATTCAGCATTAGGGGCGGAAAGCACAGTAGGGTAATGATGACCGTCGTCACGAGCATGGGGCTAGTTCGATTCCGCTCCAGGCCAACCATGCCTATCATACCCCCGGGATCGGAAAATTGGTACCAGATTTGTCTGGGAAAAAATCGCTTTCTGCAATTCAACTGGAAACGCTCCAACCCGGCTATCTCTGGACTCCAGGGAGAATTGCTCAACCAGCGTTCTACGACATTAAAGACGAAATGAAAATCCTCAAGCGGTTGTGGAAGCCACACATTAAAGTTGGAAGATTTTCGTGTGCAATGAATGCGAGGAAACAAATCAAATGTGAGAAGTAATGAGATCCGCGCAGTAGCCTCGAAGACGAATCAAAGAAAATAGAAAAAAAATAGAAGAAATGGAAGAAAATGTAGAAAAAAATGTAAAAAAAATGTAAAATAGAAGAAAATAAAATAACACAAAAAAGTACTCGGCATTTAACTCGAAAATAGTAGCTATTGACAACAACAGTAGCGATAACATCTTGAATTCTTGACTGCACTCTAAACTGATGCCGTGCAGAGGTGGGTTATTCATGTGGTATATCAGGTCGTAAGGTACTGGTTCGACCACCTATACCACTTTTTCACCCACACCACGTGGGAATGGTCTAGTTCGACTACTCCAGGATTCCCGGAAAACTCGACAACACCAGTATTCGAGGAAAACGAATCGAAAGCCAGAACTGCTAGAATCCACACAGTAGATGTGATAACCGGTCGTGTAAAAATGATAGTAATAATAATAAAAATTCGCGGAGACCATCCAATTTACTGTCGTTCAATTTGTAAGAGCCCGAAAACGATCACATATTTCGAACTTCACTTATTGGAATTAAAACTTTCAGGATGTGGAGATCTTGGCCAGTTAGAAACAAGTTTACTTCTTCGACCATGGCAACAACTAAATTCGCTTTGTTGAGTACTTTAAATGCAGACTGCATCTTAGGAAAGTTCTCACTCCCATTTAGAGTGGAAGAGCAAAGTCTCCTTTACACGTTTGTCAAGTTATAAACTTTATAATTTCCCTGCTTACCAAAACTATCGGTGTTTATCAGAATAAAATCACCATCGCCTATGAAAGACATAGAACGTTGAATTTTTTTCTTCCTGACCAGTAATTTCTGACCAATGTTCGCGGGGCGGAACTAGCGCAGTGATTAGTGTTGCCATCGATGAGGAGGCAAAGGCGCTAGTTCGATCCCCGCCCCAACACTCTCCCCAATCGACGTCGGAACGCGTTAGCTCGGTCATCACCAAGATTGCAAAGAAAATCGCTCGGATCAGCATTCTACGACATTCACAAAGAAAACGAATTCCTCAAGCAGCTGAAACAACACGCGAAATGTTCGAAGACCATGGTGGATGTTGGTTGCGAGAAGAAACACGAAAGGAACGCAAGAAATGCTGAGACGTGCGCTGTAGATGGGACGATGAGTCATGTAAAAATAAAAAAAAATTTCAATGTACGTCATTTCCAGTTGTTACGACGAGTCGTCGTTACGACACGGAATGGTTGGTCACAAAGATTGGCGAACTATATTCATTATCAGTGGCAAATTTATCCCAAATTCTGACAGCAATGTGCTTGGCAGGAGAAATGTATTATAGTAAAATGAACGGTCTACCTCTAAACTTTTTAAATACTTGCTTTCGAGTCATTTTCTACCATATCCTGAACGAAGTTCGTCGAACTTTGAGCGAATGTGTTCTGCTGTTGCTCGAGGATTACCCTTTCGTCATGAGTATAGTTAAATAATCGTTAAGTAGATCTTCTCTGGAGCACTGATATAGCCGGGATAGAGAGCTCCTACTTGGATTGTAGAAAGTGAACTTTTCTCAGAGAAGTCTATTACTAATTTCCCGACCCGGAGGGATAACATATTTGGTTAGCCTGGGCAGAATCGAACCAGCACAGTGCTCGCGATGATCGACATCACTGTCACTGCGCTACCCGCCCATCTTCTACCTCTAGATGAGTAAGGTAAAGGCTCTTCTATAACTCTTTTAAATTCTTACTTCCATAAGCCTTCTAACCCCCAAGATTTCACCGTCATTTTCAGGAAAAAAACCAGCATTTGGCATTTATTTATTTGTTTAAAGTGCGGATGAGTTCACGGGCTTTTTTGGGAGTCCGGAATATCTACGGTGTTCGTGCATGCGTTAATTCGTGCACGTTAGAGTTTCTCGGAAAATTTTCTTCATGGAAGACCATGAATAGTATTATACTTTTCGTGTGAAGCCTTCTGTGTGTGGCGTTCTCGACAACAGGCTACGAACGAAAAGCTCTTCGCGTTCTCTTCGAGTAGAAACCGGGTTTGTTGGAGACGACCCTGGACCGGTTGCATTGCACTTCACAGCTATTTTATTTAACGATATAGGCTGATCCAACGTACAAGATTCAACTCGCATGCCCATGTTCATTTTTATGCATGCATTCACAGATATAATTATGTGTACGGAAAACATAATAATTGTAGCGCACAGTAGAGGACTGATTTTTGAATTCACTTACATTTAAAAGCATCTGAGTATCCGAAAACTTCTGTGGCCCTCCAGGAAAATTTCAAGAAACCCTGTAACCTGAATAGCTCTCCTTCGAGAGAGTGGTGCGGTATTCAACATAGTTTTCAACGTTTTTTTCTTGCGATTGCCATACGTGGTGGTAGTCCCCTGTCAGTTTAGTGACGCCTACGAGCATAACTGCGTGATCCATGAACTGCGTCCAGGTGTCACTACATCCGGTTCATGTGTACTACAAACACGTCCGTTGATTTTGAACTTGTCAGCACTGCAAGACGTTTGTGTCTTCTTGGTGTTCGTTCTGAAATCTTCTCCATTTATTGTCAATGCTACTCATTACATGACGATTTCTCGCCTTTAATATGTTCTCCTATGGGCGCGTGTGGCGCGTGTGGTGCAGTAGTTGGAAGCACCACTGCGACACAAACGTGGAATCGATCCTCGCGCCCATGGCCCACCAAGCTTTCCATCCCTCCGGGGTTGGCAAATTGGTACCAGACTTGTCTGGGAGTATAGCAGCACTGGCTCGACAGATCGGTAAGCCACCGCGAGTCACTGTAAAGGCCAGATATGCATTCAAGCGCCTCCAACGATAGTTAATGAAGTCGAATGCATGGTGCATCCCTGAGGGATTGATCAACGCCGAGAGCTTTATCCTTTTTTATCCTTTACATATTCTCACGATTCGCCCTTGCTCAGCTGACACGAGATTGGTATAGATGTTCTCATTGTTATTGTTGCTCTTGTTCGATGCCTGACGTTCTGGCCACTTTTCCCTCCTCAGAGTCTCGACGTACTATGTGTAACAATAGCCCCGTAATTCGGTGAAATTTATGGTATTAACGAAGATCCAGCAAATGACTATACACAAATGTTTCAAGAACACAGTGCTCACAGTGCTTTTCGACCACTTGTGCTTTTTTCCAAGTGATGATGAGTGAGACCCACCTATGGGATGTGTATTCAAAAATCATTGTGAAACAAGGCGCCAGTTTACGTGTGATAGTGAGGCATTCGTCTTTCTGGTTCATCTTTAGACTTTTGAAATTTATCTGAAACCGCTCAAGAGTTTTGCGCGTTGATGTCATTGCTTCCTGCGCTAGGATCTGCACAGTCACTTCAAAGTCTTCGCCATTGTGCTCTTGTGCCTTATGCGTGCCTAGAGGGATGCTTTGAAGAATTTTAGCATTCCCATCTAGATGTTTTTTCATGTAGACACAAAGCGGTCTACCCGTTTCCTCTATGTATTCCTCACCGCATTCTTTACGTGAGATCAAGTATATTGTATCTAAACTCACGCAATCCCCATCTCTCCCGTTAGGACAGATTACACAATTTTGTCAGCTAAACAAATGATCACAGAGCCGGTTGCGAACTAACTGGCAGAGCAGGATATCGGGTGAGAGGTCAATAATCGTCACAGAACTTTCAATGCCACTTTTTCTAAGGCACCTCTTATTGGCGTAACTTACTTCGTTTGATATGAAGGGTAGTTTGAAAAAACTTCATTTACATTCGAGGCCCTATTTTGGGAAATAACTCTACCTTTTGGTCCGAACTGAGTGGCTTCGGTTTCACAGCCATTTAGCCGTTCGGTAAATGTTTTTGATGAGTGTTTTTTTCATGTATGAAGGATATGGAGGACTACAACACGCATATGCTGGATCTTCATTAATACTATGGATTTCATCGAATTATGGAGCTGTTGTTACATGGCGTCCTACCCCTGGGGAAATCTATACCTACCTCGCATTAGATAAGCAAAGGCAGTTCGTAAGAACATATGTCTTCATGCCAGATTTATTCACAGTGTTATCCTGTTCCCCAATTCTTCGAGCTCCTTCAAGGTTGTCTCTCCTTCACTGGTACTTCTCGAAAGAATGATGATGTTGCCCACAAGGCAAGGGTTTAAAACGAATTTACCATCACTATGCGCTCTTTTCGTCAGACACAAGTGACTTCATCATCCACTGCAATGTATCTCTTGTTAGTTTCGCTTCTTCGAATCCAGTTCCCACAGATGGTAACGTGTCGATAGCACATTGTGTTTTCGTGGTAAGGATAAAAGATAAAGCTCTCGGCGTTGATCAATCCCTGAGGGATGCGCCACGCATTTGACTTCACCAGGCATCGTTTCGAGGTTATTGCATGCATATCTGGCCTTTACAATGACTCGCGGTGGCCTATCGATGTATCGAGCCAGTGCTGCTATCCTCCCAGACGAGTCTGGTACCAATCTTCCGACCCTGGAGTGATGGAGGGCTTGGTGGCCATCGGGCGCCGAGCTCGATCCCATGTGTATTGCAGAGCGCCTCCGACCACTGCGCCACACGCACCACTACTTTCGTGGTATGGTTACAATAATAGTCAGCTAGGCGTTTCCACTTCTCATCTACGAACGCTGATAGGATTGCATTCAGTTCGGCGTTGTCGAATTGTTTTTCATGGTCGACAATGAAGCGGACAAGAGACAAGTGTAATTCCCATGGATACGGGTACGGTTCACCCACCAATTACACAGCTGAATCCCTATCAGAATGCGACTTGCTCAAGTGGTTTCACGATGGGTTAATTTATAAGGAAAGTTGTAGATTAAACGGAAGGAGCTAAGGAGGTGGTAGTTACAAAGATTACTTTGGTAGCCTTTTTTGGTCAGGATCAATAGCTGCAAAGTTCTCCACTAACCAGACATTCTTTCGTTTTGAGGATATAGTTGCATTTAGGTTGTGAAAGGCAAGTGAAGCTTTATCAACAACACTTTCTCGATTAAATCTTCTGCAGCTTAAATCCTAAGGCCTGGAAAGGAGTTATCGAACGAAAATATTGGTGTCGAACTTCTTGGTCATCAGTTCCACTTCACAGCAGAACGTAGTAGTAATCACATCTTCTTCCAACGTCGATTTGCCACTATTTTAGCTCAAATATGCACAATATTTTGCCTGTTTTAAACAATCGGAACAACACGAATCATGCGTGATTTTCATTGTCGCGAAAGTCTTTAGGACTTCTTTGGGAAATTACCGACAATTATCACGAAACCAGTTCCGTCGTCAATGTGTTAAGGATTGCCTAGACAGCAAACCGTGGATAAATTTTCACCAAAACCATTCAACAAAAACAACAGCTGAATTTTATTGAAAACTTTAAAGGACTTTCTCTTCCAATTAGTTTGTAAGATATAATAAAACTTTTCAAGGCACATATCACAGTGTTTTGACATGCAGTGGTGAGCTTACTCAACAGTGACTGATTTGGCCAAATTTCGTGGACGATCTACCTGCAAAAGTTCGAAGTTCAGACAAAGAAATCGCTCAGAGCGGATTACATAAAAAAATAAATTGTCCCACCATGGTTACTTCTATGAACTAGTGCTAAAGGGAATCCCTCTTTATTAAACCCTTTTCCTCATCCTCTTTCGTGCTTACAACGAGTAATGCCGGTAATTTTCGCCAATCTTTCTTTCTACAATCAGCACAATCATAAAATTCGAACATCCGAATTCTCATTTTTAAATCCTACCAATGTCGATGACAGGTTTCCTGCTCATTGTGGCTGGTAGGTGGTCCCGGATGTCCGGCTGAGATGTACAGTGGGTGGATTCATTCCGTCCGCAGGGTCTCCCAAGGTAACAAGGAGTCCGGGGTTTCCATCAGGTGGCCTAGCTATGAGCAAGACAATACCAAAATTGACCGCCGTCCTGGTATCAAAATAGTCGCATTATGGCAAATTTCCCTCTGACCCACAAGCGTGGGGATTGCATGTGGTCGTGATGACCTGAGGCAGATTTTATACAGACTGTCTTCGGGACTCCAGGGAGCCACAGTGGATAAACCAGCAAATCTCCGAAGAATGGAGGCTATGCTGAGACCCGCACAACCAGTGAAGATGGGCCATCCAAGTATCCAAATAAGTAAGCATTACTATAATGCTGAGATATTTGCAAAACTCTGGACCGCAGATGTCTGCGGTCCGGAGTTTTGCAAATATCTCAACATTATGGTAGTTGTATTTCGCAAAATACCCTGCTGTTAAAAAGAATAGGCAGTGAATAAAAAGGTTGAGATTGTAAGTAAGCATTATTTATTAGCATGGACGGAGATGTTGAGAGTCGGAAAATACCATGTGCTCAATTTCGTCTAGAACGCCCGAAGTTCGATGTAATACTGGGTCGAGGGATAAAAGTATGGAGATTAACGCACTAGTAATTCGCAAGAGCCAGCCCAAAAAAAGCAGTGTTTACAACACATATTTTCCATTGATAAGCCAATACGAGATTGATGGAAAAGTGTTTTAGTTTGCTGTCTAGCAGTTCCTGCTTCAGTGTTTCCATTCTCTTATACAAGTGCGACAGAAAATTTTCCACCCAGGTAGTGTGGAAGGCCAGTTCAGACCAAGGCGCAGGATCAAATCAATGTGTAACGCGCGTTTAACAGGGCACCGTAAAAACAGTGCGCTACACATTAACAAATAAGTAATAAAGCTCTCGGCGTTAATCAATCGCTATGCATTCAACCTCAGCAAGCATCACTAGAGGAGACTGAATGTATATCTAACCTATACAATGACTTGCGGTAGCCTACCGAGATATCAACTCAGTGCTGGTACCCCTCCCAGACAGGTCTGGTTCAAATTGCCCGACTCCAGAATGATAGAAGGCTTGGTGAGCCTGGGGTGCGGGATTGAACCAATGTGTACTGCAAGGCGTCTCTAACCATTACGCTACACTTAGACGCATTAAATCAGCTTTACCCCAAATAAAGTAGCAAGGTTTTAATGACCATTTGTAAGGTGTCTCAAGAGTGACATATTTTCTATGAAATACCAAAGGTCGTAGAATAAAACATGCATTTTGTCCGTTGAGTTCAGCGATGTGATAGGCCATCAACTGCAGTGGAATGACGGTTAGGATGTTTTGAACACAGTCAACAGTCTTCGGAACTTTCAGCACATGCTCCATTCCGGCCAAATCCTAAATGACAATATATCTGCATGAAAGTAGTGAAAACCAAAGTGACCATGTGCATCAATGCGATAATATGACCACCTTTTCGGGCACAGAGCGATCTGCTATAATAATGGGTGCTCCGCCTCGGGCTACAACTTGTTGAAGAGCATTCAAAGACTTCTAAAAAAAGAAAAAAAGGTATGATAATAGTAAAATCCAAGAGGATAAACATTTACTCCAACCTTATAAACGGAATCATTACAAATAACCATACAAACACATAAATTCTCATCGACCATGGCCAACGGCCCATGTTTCAGCTCACCGGACATGATTCCTTCGCAGTGCATGTATGACAGTTCCTAAACATAGCCGTATATTATAGCTCTTACGTAACCCTGGAACCTTGACTAGTGACATCAGACCTTAATTTTGAGAGCACCTTCAAGACATGTCGCAAAATTATATCCTCGACCCATGATAAGTAGCGATTTCTCTTTATAAAACTTCCGAGCAATTTTAAGCACTTCCTCATCTAATTCGAGCACCTCTTGAATCAGACCTGTAAAAGCTTCCAAACTTTTTGCAGGAAACATTTTGTTCAGAGATCATAACATAACCGATCTCGTGACAAACTGAGAAACAGCTAGATCTATATGTAAACATTTGTTGCCGTGGTGCCGTGGGTTCTTCTATTAATCTCAACATCAGACATCTGCAAAAAACTTTAAGTTACGATAATTTATTCTCTTTGTGCGGTAACTGCTAGTTACTGAATAGGTGGTTCCTTTGTTTGCTTCCAGATGAGTAGCCACTTTAAGAAGTGGGGTTTCACAACGGAACATGCCACCGTATACCTAGCCCACTGACTTCGATGGATTAGTTAAACTGAAAACGTTAAAAACTGTAAAGGTAACAAAGAAACACAATACATGACCTTTAAAGATAAAGATGGTAGAAGGTGAGGTGGACCGAGGTGTTTAAACTGGTAACATATTTGAATGGTAGACTCTAAATAGTTTTTATTTTGCAAACTTTGCATAACCACAGCAGCCAGCAGCGCAGTGGTGGTGGTGGTGCCGATCATCACGAGCATAGTGGTCGTTCGAACCCGCCAAGGATTAACCAAGCCTCTCATTCTTCCGGGAGCGGGAAACTGGTAGCGAACTTGTCCGAGAAGGAGTCACTGTCTTTAATCCAAGTGGCAACGCTTTAACCAGCCTGATCTCACGACTCCAAGGGAGAATCGACGCGACCAGAATTTTTCGACACTCGAGATAAAATGAAAATCCAGAGCGGCAAGTGAAACCATATGTGAAAGTTAGAAGAACTTCGCAAATGACGGATACGAGGAAACAAATTGAATGTGCGAAGTGCTAGGATCCACAAAGGAGATGTGAAATACGGGTCTGCTAAAATAAATTATAATATAATCACAACGATGCTGAGATATGACTAAATCCCGGGACCTGAGGTGGAGGAGGAGGGAAGGGGTTTGAAGAGTTTCGAAACCACAGTTACCCCTTATACTTTACATATTTTGTAGCCTAAAATTTATGTCGACCGACCATGCGATGACAGTAAGATTTAGTAATTACCACACTATATAATCTTACCTGGTAGCTCACTGAGAGCGGTAATGATCTCCTTCCTTCTGCTCATCATCGAAATACGGTCATCAGATAATACAAGAGCAAACATTAGGAGAGACAATATTTGTGACGTGTATGCCTGAAGGAAAACTTGGTGAGCATATGTTTCTACGTTATAGGCAAAGCTGAATTTCACGCGGTTTCAAATCACAGCTGAATATCACAAATCTGTTGGTGTTCTGCTTACAGCCTGTTCCAAAGCAAACAATACGATTAAGTAATTCACTGTATTCTTGATGAGCAAACACGAGGTTGTCACTTTATTCCTTACTGACGAAAAAGTTGACGTTTGGAAGGGTTTCGCCTTGTTAATTGCCTGGAAACATCAAGTTGACCGCAATATACCCAGCCGAACACCTCCATAATCAAAATAGAAAACGCATGAAACCAAGATTTCAATCGCAATGAGAGCATAATAACATAATAGCTTTTTCGCATACTCATCGCTTTCTATGAGTCTTTCACTGAGTATTGGAGACCAACCGCACAGAATTCACATAGAAGCGTAATGTGTTTCTCACATTAAAGTAGAGAAAAGGATAAGACTATCGGCATTGATCAATTCCTGAGGGATGTGCCATGCACTGGACTTCATTAAGCATCGTTTGGAGGTGATTGAATGCATATCTGGCCTTTACAATGACTCGAGGTGGTCTATCGATATATTGAGTCACTGCTGCTATCCTCCGAGACAAATCTCGTACCAATTTGCCGAACCCGGAGGTATGGAAGACTTGCTGGACCATCGACGCTGGAGTCGATTCCACGTGTGTGTTGCAGGGCGCCTCCGACCACTGCGCCCAATGCGCCCTTTTGTTCTCACACTAAAATATCAGTGTTAAATATCCCGTCAGATCACGCGTTATTATGAGGCATTCTCCTCTGCGTTTCATTTTCAGATCTTTGGAATTTATCCACAATTCTTCGAGAGTTTTGCGCGCTGAACTTATCGATTCCTGTGCGAGGACGGTAACTTATATTTCGTTGTGCGCCTAGTGGAGTATTTTGTTTCACATTAGATCTACCGACTAAATGTTCTTTCACACGGACGCAGAGTGGACCACCTATTTCGCTAACATATTTGTCCCCACACGCTTTACAGAAGATTAGGTACACCGTACCCGAACTCATGAAATCACCGTCTCTAAAGTTAGCGCATAGTATCCAATTTTTCGTAGTACATAGACGGTGACACAGGCAGTAACGACCTAACTGGCATCATAGTGTCTGGTGGTATTTCAATCACCCGAATTTTGTGCACCAGCACTTCTTAAGCAAAGTTTTATGGCTGCACTTATTTCGCTTGAAATGAAGAGCGGTTTGGTTTTCCTCTACACCTATCCCGAGGACCACGGTTTATTGACCACTGAAAATGGCTATTTGCTGCGCCGTCGAAAAAACTTTCTTAGAAGCGCCCTTTTTGTGTATGAGCGGTGAGTGGAGAGGTAATAAACCAGTGTTTTGTTATGTTTTGTTACATGGTTTTCGCTACCAGTTCGCGATGTGGCTATTCTTAGACAGGGTAATTTGAACGTTGAGAAATGGAAGCCAGTTTTCTTTTAGTTTCTCCCCGGTGAATGTTGAGCACTCTGACTGCCATTTCAACAATTCAAAACAGTTGACCATTTTCTCCTGTGTGGAGCAGATGACAAAAGAATCACCTATATATCTGCAGTAGAGCAATGGCCGTATACGGTTTCCGGTGCTTTCACCTCAGCGCGTAAACTGTTGGAGCATTACGGATAAATTCCAAGAATTCATAAATGGACAGCAAGAAGGAATGCCTTGTTAGCACGTTTGATCTCGTATAGTATTTAAGACTGATATTTTAATGAGGAACATTTTCCATCTATGTGAATTCTTTGCGGTTGGCGTCGACCTGGAAGACTCAGTGCAAGACAAAATTGAAAGCTGCAACTGGCTGGAGAATCTACTATGTTTTCAATGCGATTAAAATCTTGGTTTCGTTTTTTTCTGTTTTGGTCATGGAGGTGTTTGGTTGACTAGGTTGCAGACAACTTGGTCTTTCCAAGCTCTGAAGAACGCGATATCCGCCGAAATGTCAACTTTTTCGTAAGTAGAGAATAAAGTAACAACTTCTTGCTTGCTCATTAAGAATACAGTAAATTATTTGGTCAATGCCGAGGTGAATAGAATCGATCTTGGAAATACGACTAAGGTTGCACGGTACGTTCTAAAAAACTGTTAAGGATGAGGTTGAAATTTTTCACCAGAATCTATCGATTATTTTACTGAAATTTCTCAAATTCCAACACAACCTCGTCTCAGACAAAAAACATTTTCGATTGGTAAAAGGATGGTAGCGGGTGTAAAATCAGTTAATTCAGTCCCTCTTACTGAGCCACCATAGAGTTGACTTCGTAGCGGTTGAGTACAGAAATATTTTATCGCATGAAATGTGTAGGAACTATTCCCTCGAATACTTTCCATTTTCCGACATTACAAAACGTTTTCTATGCCAACAATGTTTAGTATGTTCGACATTTATCCTTGGCTTGCATTTTTACTGTCACTAACTTCATATTTTGTAAGGAGGTGGGTAGCGTAGTAGTTAGTGATGCATTCCACGGTGAAGCAAGGTGCTGATTCTACTCCGTTCCAAGTCCCCCCATTCTCGGCTATCTTTAAGATTGCAAGAAGATTCAACTCAACCAGCATTCTATGACACTCATAAAGAAGGTGAAATCCTCAAGCAGCGGCCGAAACAACACGCGTTCGAAGTCCTTTGTGGACGATGAATGTGAGGAAAACGAGCAGAAGGCAGGAAGCGCTGGGATCCGTACAGTAGATGTGATGACAGGTCATGTAAAAAAACAAAAACTTTACCTTCTTGTTTACGTCGCCTTGAAGACTCTAATTACTAAGCTTTTCATCCACATAATCAGTATTAATGACAATCAGACCTTTCCTAACCATATCATTGTCTTAAAGCGAGCAGAACCTCCCGGTGAAATGCTCTTGAACGTGAAACGGAGAAAGTGAAAATGTACTGACGCTCGCTCGAGTCGCCTGACGATCAACGGGAGCACAAGTGATACAGGTGAAGATCTTGTTCCTACCACACCGTTACTATTGTTATGGTTACATAGAAACGGTTTAATTAGCCACGTTTTACAATAACCTAAGGGTTCTATTGCAACAGCGAAAAATCCCGCGTTGCAAATTCGTACGAAGGCTAGCACTCTGTAGCGAGTTAAGTAATTACTCGGCACTGCCATCTGATCCGAGAAACGGCATTCCACTGATCCAACTGACATCACCCATACAAGAATCCCAGAACTTCCTGGGTTCTATTCGCTTCGTCGCGTCCATCATCGACGAATGTCTTCCAACTCATCGCGTGTAGGTTCGGCTACTGCTTGAGGAATTTTTGTTGCTCTGAATATAGTTGAATTTTGATTCACTAGATTCGCCCTTGAGTACTGGGATATCCGGGTGAAAGCGTTCCCATTCAGACTGGAGGAAGTGAGCGAACCTCATGTAAGCCTGTTATTAATTTGCTGATACCGCAGCTATAAGAGACAGTAGGCCCTGGTCGATACTACCACTATTCTCGAGATAAATGCTATCATTGCTACTCCGCTACGCACGCTCCAGTATAAGTATTACATTTCTTAATAGCATTCTTACCTTAGTAGAGGCGACTCCTATTTCAGGACCTGCATTGATATGAATTCCACAGTGTGATTCACGACATAACGATGAACCCACGGTATTTGTGACTCCTATAAGAAGAGCACCTCGAGGCTTACAGTACCTGAAAAGTAAAAGTGGAGCAAAAAAGTATAAAAACTGTATTGCCATATCGTGGTCATCTTCAATTTCTTTATTCACTGAAAAGTTTCAACACACCATAAATTATTATTTTGAACAAAAGTCAATATCATCAAGTTGTTTTTAACATTTCAATTTAAACCCATGCAGTAAATATTATACTTTACAGATAACGGATGATGTGATCTACAGTATAAGCGCACATTGTGTTGCACCCAGAGTGTTTAGTGAGTGACACGTCAGCTCCCTCACCTAAGTGCCATGAGGGTGTCGGCTGTCTCTCCACTCTGGGAAACGAAGATGCAAACATCATCGCGGAAGATCGGCGTCTTGCGATCCAGAAAATCCGAAGCCAGCTCTAACACGACTGGCAATTCGGAAAGCTCTTCCAGAATCTGAACAGTATTATAATAATATGTAGTCATCAAGACGACAAGTATGTCGACAATCACAACGATGTTGAGATATCACAATCTTAGCTGTTTTACTTACTGCCTACTATTTTTAATTGCATGGTATATTGCGAAATATAACTTTTAACGGTGCTAAGATATTTGCAAAACTTTGACCCCGGCTAGATCGAACCACGACTTCTCTTTCCGGCGGCTCGCGCATTCCACACTACGCCACGGAGGCCCTAGCTTTGCGTTTCGCTTAACTAGTTCTCTATATACCAGTGCCATCAGCAAGCAAATAAAAAGTAAACATTGGTACATCGACATGTTTAAAAACGGGCGTTTTTCATTTATGAAAAGGAATAAACCTATGGAACACACAGTGATTGGAACGTAATTCGAATTAGAACAACGACGACCTGATGTTCACAGATTTGAAAATTTGCCAAGTTTCTGTATTAAGAAATGAGGAATGAAAAGCAAATGATGAAAGAGTAAATCCGTAAAAATTGACAAAGACACGCAATGATTCCACTGCGTACAGAGATATTTTAAGCAAACACAGCTCATGTTAGAGTGAATTTTGTTGACTGGGATAAAAAATATCTAAAAAAAGGATAAAGTTCTCGATGTTGATCAATCCCTGAGGGATAGGCCATGCATTCGACTTCATTAAGCATCGTTTAGAGGTGATTGAATGCATGTCTGGTAGAAATTGATGCACGATTTGTGGTTCTATTTTTCTTTTGTATGTTATATTAGCAATCCTTTTTTGAACACTATACTGTTATCAACATAATGCTTCCCAAAGGTTTACCGCCTCATCGTAGCTAGGAAGTGTTCCTATGTGTTGGGCTGCGATATACAGTGGGGATTCATCCCCTTGGCAGGGTGTCCCAAGCTGAGGAGTGCGTCGTTTCCATCGGAAGCCCAGTGAAGAGTAAAGCAATACCAGGTTTCATCACCGCCTTGGTATCAAACTAGTCGCATAGTTGAAAATCGTCCTCTGATACACAAGGGCGGCGGCTTTCTGGGGTGGTGACGACTTGAGAAATGCTTCTGCCAGGCTAAGCTCGGGAATGCAGGGAACCAAAAAGGGTAACCAGCAAAACTCCGAAAGAACATAAGTTATGCTGGTGGTCGCACAACCAGTGAAGACGGGCCATCGAAGTATTTAAGTAAGTAAGTACAAATATGATGATGCTGAAATATTTTCAAAATTCGGAACCGCTGGTGCTTCTGATGGAGACCGAACACGTAATTACCTTCTCCGAAGGCCGACGCGTTCACTACCACACCTTGCCGGTCCTTCGTTTCGCTTTTCTCTCAGTTTTATTATTGACCTATAGGTGCTATCAGCAATACTATGCTATACATCTACACATCTACATATCTATATCATCTATACACATAAAACGATGAAGGATAAAGCTCTCGGCGTTGATCAATCTCTAAGAAGTGAGCAATGCATTGGACTTCATTAAGTATAGTTGGAGATGATTGAATGCATATCTGAGCTTTACGACGACTCGCGATAGCCTACCAATGCATCGAGCTAGTGCTGCTATCCTCCCAGACAAGTCCGGTACCAATTTTCCGACCCTGGAGGGATGGAAGGCTTGGTGTGCCATGAGCGCGGGTATCGATTCCACCTGCGTGTCGTAGTGGCACCTCCAACCACTGCGCCACTTGCGCGTCTTCTACATACACATACATCTATATATATACATATATATATCTTTACAGAGTTTGTTTTATGCGCTTTCGTTCCGTATAATTGAATTATTAATATAAATTGTATCTGTGATAAATTTTGAAGGTTAGATAACACATGACCTGTTAGATGTCAAATGAATAGTTAGAATTCCAGATGGAAAAACAGTAATTTCAACAAAATTATTTCCACGAATTCAAATGCCGGTGGAATGCAGCGAAAAGGGCTCGAGAGATTAATGAGATATGAGATAAAGGTTGTGTTAAGGAATTCTCAATGCGATGCTAGAAATGTTTGTTAAGGAATTCTCAAAGCGATGCTAGAAATGAAAAAAATATAATCAATATCTATCTGGGTTATTAAGCTAACACGAGGTTGATAAAAGGGTTTATTCGACTAACGTTTCAACGTCTTAGCTTAATAATGTTAGTAATGCCGTACTGTCTTAATGCCTTAATAATATCGTGTCAACTTGGTAATCCGGAAAGGCATTGATTATTAATGCCGAAGGTAAATGACGGCCAGTTTGAAAAATATTCCACATAGATTATAAATATCCTTAAGACCACGGAGCAAAGCCCTTTCTCTTTTAGTTTATTACACTATCAACTCTTCAACTGTTTTAGCTATAAGGGATTATGTCTCAAAAGTAAAATTTCCAACTATTAATCCATTACACACCGTATGGACACCACAAAGAGCAAAAAAGAATGGAGCTCGGCGTTGATCCATCCCTGAGAGTGCGCCACGCATTCGACTTCGACTAAGCATGGTAGGAAGTAACTGAATGCATATTTACCCTTTAACGATGACTCACGATGGCCTACCGATGTATCGAGTCAGTGCTGCTATCCTTCGAGACAAGTTCTATACCAATTTGCCAACCCCAGAGAGATGGAGGGCTTCGTGGGTCTGAGGCTCCGAGATCGATCCCATGTGCAATGTATCGCCTCTCCGACTCTGCGCCACACGTACCCCATGAACTCTTTAGCGCCTACAATCAGTTTAGAGAGTTCCAGAGTTTTTCTTTTTTTACCGTACTATTTATATATTTTATATTCGGTGGCTAATCGAAATGAGATCGAAATACGTGGACTGAGCCAGGAAAAACGATTCCCTACAATTAATGATGTAGAAAAAACCTTTTTTCGAGAAAGTTCATTGACCAGTAACATCATTGACCAACTATTAGCTGTTACATCATTTTAATAACTAAGGTCATTGTGTGGGATGTGCGGATATAAAAAATGCCGAAATAGAGTCGAAATGGATGTAAAGTAATCCCAAGTGCAGACAGCAATGTATCTGCAAGATATCAATACAAGATTATAGCAACAGTAACAGCAAATAGTAGCATAGCATGCCTACAGAAGGATAGAGCAAAGCCTCTTCTACAATTCTACCTTGTTCACAACCGCTAAAGCACTCTTACTTCGACACTTGGATACTTGGATGGCTCTTCTTCACTAGTTGTGCGGTCCACAGCATGTTCATTTTGTTGGAGTTTTGCTGGTTTAGCTACTGTGGTTCCCTGGAGCCCCGAGGTCAGCCAGACTAAAGTCTGCCCCAGATCCTCACCTGTATAGGCAGTCTCCGCCCCGTTGGATCATAAGGCGATTTGCCACCAAGCGACTATTACCAGGACGGCTAAAGCACTCTAGTTATCGAAAAAAGTTTTTTTTTTACTGTCAAAAAATCAGAAGGCCTGCATCAGATGAAAAGCTGGTCGTGTTTGATTGGACCAGCCACACAAAACGGTGCCGAGACGTTATGGATTAATATACAAAATATGTAGCGCAGTAGTTAGTTGTCTCTTACTATACACATGTAATTGTTGGTTCGGTCCCGCGCTTCGAGAAAACTAAGACCTTCACGCGTCAGGGAGTGATAAACTCCTACCAGACCTATGTGGGAACATGAAGACACTGACTCGATACATCTATGAGCCGTCGAAACACTACAAATCACTTCAGTAAGCCATTAAAGGCCAAATATACATTGAGTCAAAATGTTTGATGATGTTGAATGGCGCATCTCCCAGAAAGTAATCAGCGTGTGACACTTTATTCTTTTATTGGTATTTTATATAACAGTTCCTTCCACTTGACTTATAACAACCGATTCTGGTTTCTCGACAACTACCGCGATGTTTTTCAATGATCAGTGTACTTGAAAACCCTTCAAACCGCACAGACCCCTAGAAAAAGCTTTGCCTCGTAGTTCTAAAAGTTAAGAAAGCGTCCTCCATCATTAATAACTAGCACAATACTGAAACCGACAAACCTGCCTACACGCGATAGCCGAATTGTAAGACGTACCACACGCCACGATTATAAGCCGACGACATCTCTTGATATCTGAAGTGTAGTCCTAAATAGTACCTAACTTATTAAGTATCCTGTCCCTTATGTACATATATATACATATATATGCATAAGTATATACACACCAATAATTAATAGACTTATAACCAAAACCTTTATTCCACCCAAGACCACTTGTCCACTTGGAAGAAGCCGACCTCTCATAGTGTTCACTATGGACTCCGGTTGCTCGAAAATCTCCTACAAATAATTAACGCTTCAAATGATTCTGGATACTAAATCAATCATATATGACACAAACCTTTTGCATGAATGTCTTAAAATTGCCTTTCATTATTTGCTGCAATTCCATATTCAGATTTTGTACTTCTCGTTTTTGCATTGTGTCCTCAGAAGAGCTACGACCAACACGATGGATTGTTAGGGCTGAAATCATAGCTCATAAGTACGGTTAAGTGAATCACGCTAAGGTGTTTATCCCCAGCTTTCCTTATGATTATTAACCATACAGCAATCATATAAGCACAGTTGTGCGAAGGTATACACGACAGAACATACTTTTTTCGAAGATCTTCTACGACACAACAATACTATCATCCACAATGATGCTGAGATATTTGCAAAACTCCGAACCGCAGGTGTCTGCGGTGGGGAACGAATACGCTACTACCCTTTCTGGGGGCTACCGCATTCACCACCACACCATGTGGGTTCTTCGTTTCATTTGTCTCTCACTAGTTTTCTGTCAACCAACACACCAACGTTATAGTGAACCTCATTAACCCCCGGAAAAGGTTTGCGCGTTCGTACGCCACCACAGAAACCTGCGGTCTGGAGTTTTGCAAATATCTCAGCATGCCAGTAAAATAAGCAGTAAATACCATTATCGTTGTGTTAGTTGGAAATCAGCTGTAAGCTTCAACACATTCGAGGCGCTGTTAATTTTTCTGACATTCACCGATAATTCTTCGGTAGCTAGAGTTTTTCAGAAGCCCATCACTTGAGAGACTTTTTTCTGCATCAGATTATAAACAGCCAACCTCACATATCCCTACCGTTTTGAGTTAAGTCGAAGTTTAAAGTGTTAGAAAATTTGGATTTTCCTTCTATTTTTTCGAGGTTTTCGAAGCAAGAGTGTAGCCGGAAACATCATTTGCACACCCTGAGACACAAATGTGTCCTCCTGAAGGAACCGTTACTGAATCGCTCCGCTACTAAGATCTCCGACAAAAAATAAAGTGAAAAAGTCTAGAAAAGAGCTATTTTTGGGTGCAAAAAAACAGGACTTCACCTTGGACCAATTTGTTGGAAAAAGTCTGTGAATTCTAACAGCTTCTACTTCATATTTCAAAGGAAGAAGAAAAGGTCGAAACGTTAACCGGAGAAAGTTTTTCTTATCAACCTCGTGTTAGTTTATCAATGAAGAGATACAAATTACTACTTCAATTGGAAAAGTCTACTAGGAGCTGGAATATACCAGCTTAAAATCTAAAAGTTTGGTTTTTAGACTATTTACGGGTCGAGTGGTGCGTGTAACGTATTGGTTGGAGGTATCCTGTGGTGCACACAGGTTAGTTGGCTCGGTTCTGCACCTGGGGCTAACCATGTCATGGTTGTCCAAAAACGCGTTCTCGTTTAAAAACATTACAGATTCACAAGAAAGACAAGAGATTTAAATGAGGACACCTCCATCTTCAACAAAGGCTACATCATCGTCCTCTAGGAACAGCACTTGTTTCGTATGTTCGATAATAGCGGACGCATCAGATGCAACAAAGTATTCCACCTAAAGTAATGAGTTCACCAAGGTTAGTACACAGCAAGAACACCGACAACCAACCTGCCATTCATCAGAATCAAATGGGCGAACCTTCGTGGTGCTTTTCTTGTGTTCCATAATTCGTGGGGACCCGTTCTCTGAAGTTTAGGTTAGTATTACTATTGGAATTTTAACTTTGACATTAACGAATACAAGGACTATGGGATATACTTCCCGGAAACCTGGTGTAATTTGGACTGATGCTGTTAAAAGTGCAAACAGATCACAAAAAATCTGCAGAAAGGACTGAGAATTCCCTTTATTTATTTCTTACGGCTACGTAGTTCGAAAACCGCCATCAAAACAGAACCAATAGCTTGCAGAAAACGAAAGCTCTAGATCCCCTTCATTTCATGAAACGTCATTTTGGTGCTACCCAACTCGCAAAATGATGCATCTACTATGTAAAAAGTACAGAGTTCTTTAAATTCCTCACAATTCTTACCATGTGTGAGATCAACACCGTTAGGAATGTCGAGATAGGAGTCATCGCTTGAAGAGCAACGCACTGGAATGAATGAAGCAAAATGAAAAAAAGTTGCAATGTCCACAAATCTTATGTGAAATTACAGCCTACTACAATACTTAACTAAGATTTTAGTAAGCAAAAATAAAAACAGAAATGATGGTCGGGAGAAGGCTCACAGCAAGCAATTGAGTTGAAGCGAATCGACGAACAGAAACATAGAGAAGCATGGAAAAATGAGGATACAAGTCTACAGATAGTCATTGACACCGAAGTTCTAAGCTGAACATTGCGAGAACAAGCAACTGAAGTAGTAGGGATTACCTTGTTGAAGCACAGCCATACACGCATGAATATATATATATATATATATATATATATATAAATACACATATATACATATATGCGTATGTATGTATGTATATATGTATATACATAGAAAGAGAGAGGGAGAGAAAACTAGAAGCTAAAAGCATAAACTGTGAAGCGCTAGATGCTTCGAACTCCGAAGACCACCTTGGCAGTCACTACTTTGTGAAATGATGTATATTTTGTACCTACAGGACTAGCCGACACCTCCAATTAAGATTAAGGTACCAAGGAATCTAGTTTGGCCAATGCTTGAGGATATGGTCTTATAATTTTGAATGCTGCTCGAGTAGAATCTCCCTGGAATACTGTGACAGCCGTCGTTACCTTTCGTTACGTTACAGACGTCCTTACCACAGGCCTTTGTCGGTCAAACAAAGTCCTTTCCACAGAGGGCTAGTTACGGTTTGCCTAGATCCCGTGATTTTATGAGTATTATTGAACGAAATCCTTAACCTCTAACTGCACTTCTCACATTCAAAACAAAACATACAGATATACACACGCACATAGTGAAATTCACGTGACATTTTCTTCATGACTGAACCAACCACACGCACCGTTCATTTACCCTGCATGGCAGAATCCGAACAGTTACGCTGTCGTATCTTCTCACCGAAAAAATTACGACTAGGTAGTCTAGCAAGGAAGGTGTGAAGATCTTCGTGTCTCTCAAATTAAGCGAGCCCAGTAGAAAGAATGGAGACTATTACTGTTCAATTAAGTATTAACTAGATCATTAGCGGTAATATAAGTGATGGCAGGGTGTAATCTGCTTGGAGGTGACCTGTGGTACACTTGAATCGACCGCTGGTTCAATTCCGCGCCTAGAGCTCACCAAGCTTTCCATTTCTCCTACGTTGGCAAATTGGTACCAAACTTGTCTGCGAAGATGAAAACACTGACGCGGTATATCGCTGGACCACTGCAAGTTATTGTACAGGCCAGATATGCATTCATCCACCTCAGTGATTTTTGGTGAGGTCAGTGCGTGGCGCATCCCTCAAGAAATGATCAACGGCGAACGCTTTGAAGCTTTTTACAAGTGATGCATGCATGTGACTGCAACATAATACATCGCAGAGGAACAGCAGCTGTATATAAAGGGATTAAGCAAAGAATCGAAGCTTTCGCCTTTAACAACTGCAATGGATAGCCAGCGTTCCTCTGTCCCGTGAAAAAACTGGAGACATTGCTAGGCATTTTCTTTCCATCCATTTCCAAAGCTGTTACCTTTATAATCAACATGCTTTTCACGTTAAATCGTAAATATTCCGGAGGAGAATGAAATATTTCCCATTACGGAGTACGGAAATGCGTCACGAAAGGGCGGCTCGCTAATTTAAGGGCCTCACTATCATAATGAATCGGAATCCAATTGCGAATTGAAAGCTAAGCCTAAGCCTAAGCCAACAAAGACGAGAAATAATAAAGGAAAAATAATTAAATTTCTCTCCCAGTACATGGGATTTGTCAGAAATATCTTCCACACTATAAAGCCGATGTGAGTTGATTTTTTCTTCTACGTGGGGATGTATGGGCGCGTGTAGCGCACTGGTTTTTGCAGGCGCCACTGCGACACACACATGGAATTGATCCCAGCGCCCATGGCCCACCAAGCCTTCCATCCCTCCGGGGTCGGTAAATTGGTACCGGACTTGTCTAGGAGGAGAGTAGCACTGGCTCGATAAATCGGTAGGTCACAGTGAGTTATTGTATAGATCAGACATGCATTCAATCAACTCCAAACGATGCTTAATGAAGTCGAATGCATGGCGCATTCTGAAGGGATTGATCAACGCCGAAGGCTTTATCCCTTTATCCTTTAAGACTGCAGCACAGTGGTTAGAAGTACCTTGCAACACACATTTGGTTCGATTTCGTGTCCAGAACTTTCCTAATTTCGTGTCCAGAACCTACCGTCTCACAAGACTCTGCAAATTGGCACCAGACTTGTCTGAGAGGATAGAAGCACTGGTTCGATACATTGTTAGACCACCGAGAGTTATTCTAAAGGTTAGATATGCATTCAATCACCTCCAACGATACTTAATGAAGCCGAATGTGTGGCGTATCCCTCAGGGATTGATCAACGCCGAGAGCTTTGTCCTTTTTAGCTTTACGTGGGGAGTTACATTGCCGACGTGGACTGACATAAATCCATTTTCTTTTTGTCGGCTATGTGAGCATTTAGATACTTTTTCTGTACTCCTTGCGCTCAGTATGTTGTACCTAACGTCGGCTTGTCTTCTGCATTTAGTTCTTTAAAATTTATTTCACATGACCCGTCTTGCAAGTCTACTGTGCGGATCCCAGCACTTCTTGCATCCGATTCATTCTTCGCATCCGTGATCCACGACTGCCTTCTAAGTTTTGCATGTGGGCTCGGCTGCAGCTTGAGGATTTTCCTTTCGCTAACAATATCGGTTAATACTGACCAAATCGATTTTCCGTGGAGTCCTAAGATAACCAGACTAGAGCCTTTCCAGCTGGATTGCACAGAATAAACTTTTCCCGGAAGAGTTAGTTACCAACTTCTGAAAACCAAAGAGATAAAAGACTTGATGAGCTTGGGGAACGGTTTCAAATCAGCGTCATGCTACGCCTTACTATCACTGCGCTACTCGCCCCGTACTTCAACATATATACAGGACAACAAATATCTGTGCGCTGTACGGCAATTATCTTTTCTAGCCACAAAGTCGTACGAAGACTGGTACCAGTGAACTTGGGATATGCCCAAACATGGTGGGGAAGTTGGTGGACCAGATAGTCCTACATGAATTGCTTCTGATCCTAATTCACAATGCTTACGACAAAGAGTTAAGCGTCACATCCACCGTTTAAAATTAAACGTCGGACTAAAAGTGTTAGGAAAAATGTGATAAAATCCACAATATAGCAGCCCAAAAAAGAGTATAAAGCCTATATACTTGATGAAAATGATTCATTACCCTCTTCCAGGGGCCGATGCTCTTCGGCCCATTGCCATCCAGCACCTAAAACGTCATTTCGATGGGAAGTGAAACTGTTCGAATGACGCATTGATCCTTATATTTTAAACAAATATTGTAGTCAGTTAAGAGAACTATGCGTAGAAAATTAATATTCGTTAATTATAGGTGTGCCACTAGAGTTGGCTGCAAGGTATTGGTCTACCGATAAGTTCTCGTTTCCTTATTTGACGATGGACACTATTTAGCCAGCGACGAATGAGCGCGTGTTCTCAGCGTCCTTACTCCTATATATCATTTCATCTACACGTTCCAAATTTTGCACATAAACTAAGCTACTAAAAATTCACAAGATTTTCGTTAATCATTACTTACTATTTTCACTTGAACATTTCAACTGAGTTGGGTGATGTTTCCCACACTGGCGCAATGATGGATGCGTTTCTCAGAACTTAATCCCGTTTGTATGTGTACCTGCTACTTAATTTGTGTGATAAAACTCAACATAATTCTTCTTCGCCTTTATCATATCTTATCTTCTTATTTTTGTTCCTGGATGTCGGACTACGACGTGCAGCGGAGAAATCATCCTCCTGGTACGGTCTCCAAAAGCTGATGAGTCCGGCGTTTCAATCAGGAAGCTTAGCTAAGAGTAAACCAACACCAGAGATCCGCTACCGTCCTGGTATCAAAGTCGCATGGTGGCAAATCTTCCTCTGATTCACAAGGGCGGCGACTGCCTGTGATGGTGAAGACCTGGTGCAAACTATGGCCAGGCCGACCTCGGGGTTCCAGGGAACCAGAATGGCTTAACCAGCAAGTCTCTGAGGAATGGAGATTGTGCTAGGGTCCGCACAACCAGTGATGACGGGCCAATCAAGTATTCACGTAAGTATTTTCTTATTGTCGACGCTTAGATTACTGGGAATAAGATATTGCTTTTTTATTTAGACCGAACAGCCCTGAAATACTGTAATCCGGAAAACGCTCGCTGATTCCACACTAATGTGCACATTGGTAGATTATCTTCCACGGTTTTCGTAGTAACATCTTACTCATAAGAACACTGCAAGTGTAAAGAAAAACTTCAAGAAAACGATATGAAAATATTGCTACTAGTTTGTGACGAGAAAAGTAAACCGCAACGAAAAGTCCCTTCTATAAATCCGTTGTTAGAGATTTCCACGCCAAATTAAGAGCGGTCAGCGAAAGTGAGTACATGAGGGGAAAATTCGGAATAGAAGAACGAAATGAGGATGGAGATCGTTGTGCAGGACTTCTTTCCGAGGCACGCCTCCTTCAATGAAATTGATTCCTCAAGGAGAGAGAAAGTCGCCGATGGATATGGGACTATGCTGACGGCACAACTCTGTGGTACTCATATTTTCACGACTGCTTTTGACACCTCATTGGTACCTGGGTACCATGGATCCAAATTCCGCTTTCTCTGTAGCAGGGTTCGATTCAGCCGTAAGCCGGAGAAGAACTGCCATCGTCCAAGGTAACCGAAGCAGGTTGTTTATGACGAGGATATTCCCAGTAAAATCCTTCCACATAACTGGCAGAACAAGCAAAACTGCAAAACGCTTTTCAACGGACGTAAAACTTGTGTCGAATACGCCCTGTTCTTCAAACAAGAGGATTGGACCGAATCTGCCGCTAAGGAGTTGGTCGCGAACAGAAGAAGAGTGTCGCTTGACTTTGCTGCAAGAAACCTACCACGACTGAAAATAAATGCCAGTTGTAGAAGATCTTTGCAGAGGAACTTACATCGGTAAAGGCAGAAATGTAACTGGAGGCAGAACAAAACGATCTAATCTGAAGAAGTGCCATCGGGATCTGTGCGGATGTAATGTTCTGCTATCCGCCCAGATGAATGAATATAGGATTATCATCGCGTCCCACCTTGATATAGAATTGATAACGGAAATTTTCTATACCAGTCGATTCCGTTACACAACTTCGTCATCTCGGACACACAAATTCCCTCAAGAGAAAAACTAACCGGGATTCTAGCCTTCAAATTCGACTTACGATAGAAAGCATGAAAAAGACGCGGTTCGAGGACCCAATAATATCACCGCCGGTTTGGAGCAAGAAGCCACAAATTGCCTGATCTTTTCGCAACCCATATGGCATCTTACCTCCAGAAAGAGAAAATCACAGGCCAACGGAGTGCGCTTATCCAGCTCAAGAATGGTAACCGAAGGGATTTTCGTGATCATCGTCGATATGCTTGTTGAGTATGTCCTAAAAGATGTGCGCGAAGGTTATCCTACAACTTTTACCGGAAAAATTCGATGAGGCACAACGAATTCAGCAAGTAAGATTTCGACAGGGATTTTGTTGCATGGATCGCATCCAAACCGTGTCATGGATCATAGAAGTTTCTCAGGAATGCCACCTTGTGCTGAGCATCATCGACTACGAAAAAGCGTTTAACAGCTCTAAAACGAATGGGATCCCAACAACAGTCTACCAAGGAATGGACCCGTTCTACATAACAACTCCGTCTGATTGTTATTGGAACTTCACCATGAAAATATAGCTTTTTCATCGACCTTTCACCATACCCATAGGAAAAGAGGTTCGAGAATGCGACACCATATCGCCAAAACTGTTTATTGCCGCATTCTAGTGCATAATGAAGTCACTCGACTAAAATTAGAAGGATACACATGTTGATGGAAAATTGCTGCCAAATGTTCGCTTCGCCTACAACATTGTCTTTTCAAGAAGTAGCAACAGAGCGCAGACGATGCTAAATGAGCTCAAGGAAGCGGGAACAAAGACGGGACTGTGCATAAATAGGATGAGAACCTCGATCATAAAGAAACCCATTGTGCGACGGCGAACAGATCGAAATCAATAGCCGAGTGCAGAAACTATCACATTCGTCTACTCTGAATGTTCGACGAATATGGAGAAAGACACGAAGGAAGAACTAGATAGAAGAAAGACTGCAGCTTCGGCAACATCCGGGCCTCTCAAAGAAACCACCAACCAATTGAAGGTCCCGAAAATCCGCGCTCACCTTTTCGATTCAGCAGCCCTCTCAACGTTCCGTTATGTAGCAGAGACGTGGGTGGATACATCAACCACGTCAAGAGATCTGCAGAGCACCTACAGAGTATTTGAACGATGGCTTCTAAAAGTTAAATGGCACTCACACCGTTTAGCCGGAATTCGCAGCTCAGATCATCGAAACCTGTTCGATCTTCGATATCCAGGAGAATATACACCGATAGAAAAGCACAGATGAGACGGTCACATAGCAATGAAAACAGATAACAGAAGGACGAAAAGAACAGTGAAGTGGACTCCAAAAGAGTGCAAACATCCTCTTAGAAGACTATCCAAACGATAGACGAACTTACTCGTGAGTAATGTCAACTATTTGCATTCGAAAAATGCAAACAATTTTAGGAATTCGTCACCCTGCTGACGTCACCGTGTTCGAAGCAGACCGCTAGCATGGGCAGCAACTGAACGGGAGATAACCGTGTAGAAAGTGTGCTTGGATTCGCACTAGCATTGAAAGTGGGCCATCCAAGTATTAAGTAAGTAACTTTACCACGGAACAACTCCAAGTATTTCATCACTTCCTGAATCATGTTCAACGCCATCACTGGCTATGAGGAAGCGCATAAACACCACCCTACTATCGAAAATGTCAAGGGAATTTCGAGCATCTTTGGGAAAATTTGGAGATATCGGTTACACTTAGCACCTCTGAGCGTTTTGTCACCTAAGTTGGCAGTTCTTTGAATCAAGTGTTTCGTGACATATTTCTTAGCATGTATCCCTAATGACATTAAAAGCTTCAGTATCAATCACAGAGCCATATTTTGTCTATATGGCAACTTTTGTACACCGTTAAGATAGAAAACGAAATGAAATTCTAAAATGAAACTGAACACATCATTATTCCATCATTTTATGAGGGAATTAATGGAAACAAGAGTGGCTACTATATAAGGTAATTCGTACCTTTACTGAAAGATACAGGAAAATGATTGGTTTGGAGCTGGCTGTTACTTTTGATACCAACCACAAGCGGTGAACCTCGTCGAGTCGCTACTAGCTGTCCGGGAAAGTTCGATGACTTAAACGCCAAAGCAAATGCACCTTCCTGAAAATTCCACTTGTGCGTGGGTATGAACAGTTGGAGCCAATACAATGCAAGTTAATGAAAAGATCTATTGCGACAAAGCCTCGCATTATTTCCTCTACTCACCAATTGCTGTACAACAACTTCTACGACTTGTCGGAATGAAAACTCTGGGTAGCGGTCATGTATATGTTGGGTAAGCTTTGCGATCACCTCAGTGTCCGTCTCTGACTGAAGCAGAAGTATTTATTAATGTTAATATTGATGGCTGCACTTAACTGTATGAATCAAATTTCTGATATTAAGCTTCTCATAAGATCTCTTGCCATAAACACTAGCTACCAATGGATAACAGTGGTTAAAAGGATTGAAATATGAGGCTGGCATAATTTATTGATTCTATCGATTGACTATTGATCGGGTTCAAGAAACGGCTTCATTTTCGTATAACTTATATAGGATAACTTGTATAGATGCATAGGATAGGATGGTACCCCAAAATTGTCAGCTGGGAATTATGCACGCTTCCACTGCCTTTTCATGCCCTATCGGCTCTATGGAAGGCCGAGATGCCGAAATGCTGACCGAACAAAAGTTTTTTGTACCAACCTAGTGTCAGCTCATTTATATAAAAATTATTGATTACCCTTACCAAAGTTCGGTTAAAGTCGGTTTTTAGCGTATTGCTTTGTTAAATGAGTCTTCGAGATGATCATCGATGGGACTTCAGTTTTCTGTGCTGTCTAAAGGGGAAAATGGGTACAGATTCTACGTGTTTTCTAAAAGGGCAGAAAAAGGTACAGGTTTTCCAACGTGGAAATCTGACTTCTACTTCCTGGTTCGACCAAAATAAACGAACTCTGAATAAATTAGTATAGAAATATCGCCTAAGAAAATGCGCATTGAATATTTCATACCTCGAATTCACGTCCCTTCTTCTTTAAATACTCCTTAATCTCCCGATAATTGGTGATAATTCCATTGTGAACTACCACAAACTCTAAAAGATGTCTTCGTTTTAGGATTCACAAAATATCGAACTACGAGGCTATTAATAGAGAGGCAGAGCTTGTACGCTGTACTCGACCAACGACGTAGATAACAAGAAATAGCACTAAAGAATATTAAGTTCAAACCATTCTTCCCATTGCTCCGTTGTGGATGGCTGTTCACGTCTTTCGGTTGGCCATGTGTCGCCCAACGAGTGTGTGCGATTCCACAGTGGATATGGTATTCCATTTCCATATCCAGTGAACATTATGAAAAAGTTGAGATAAAACCCAACATCTTAATGAGGTTTCTTCAAGCTCTAACACCCACGGACATATGGCAAAAACGGTGCACTACGGACAGTACGGTAATGGTACTGCAGTCTTCTGCGCAAGATCATTCGTCGAAATCGAAGTTCGACCTTTTCAGTACCATTTATTTTTAAAAAAAATTTCCAGAACAAAACAATATAACCACAACGATGCTAAGATAGAAAGGTAAGTGGAAAACTAGCTGACAGAAACGCAGAGCGAGGGCCTCCGTGGCGCAGTGTGTAATGCGCGAACCGCAGGAAAGCGGTGGTCCGATCTGGCCCGGGGTCCAGGTTTTGCGAATATCTCAGCATCGTCGTGGTTGCGATTCACATCATACCCTGCCGTGAAAAATTACAGTAGGCAGAAAATGAAAGGTTAACAAAACAATATAGTTATAGGTGAAAAACCGGAATTTCCGACACTTTCTTGTCTACAAGTTTAATCACACTCGCAGTGCTATGCTATTTACATGAAACATTAATGAGAAGGAAACGATTATATCGCATTCAGAGAGGTTTCAGAGTAGTTCAAAAATAATGAAGAGGAAATATGTGGGCTTGAGCTTGTCCCGTGCTGAATGCAATAAATAATTCTGTTACTTCCTAATCAAACTACCACACCTGCCTCCTACTTTTAAAGGCTTCGATGGAAGGTGAAAGCCCAGTTCATTTTGAGGTTCATCGACGTTTGTTGTTCTCCCACAACCCAGCGCTATGTGATTTTTACTACCTTTGCTAAGTTTTGAAGCCTCCTCACAAGTTACATTGAATAATTACAAAGAGTTCCAAAATCAGCGTGGGACTTAAAAATTATTGGATTCCTGCGAACCAGTGAATAATGGAAACGAATACGTCATTGAACGATCGCATATGAATGCTACTGCATAAATTAGACAACGAGCAAGTGTGAGAACCACAGTGACAATGATGCCGGCCGTCCGTCATCCCAGCTGAGCCATGCCAGGACTCCAATGGGAATAGATGGACTCAACAAGTATTTCATGACATTGAAGATGAAATGGAAATCTTCAAGAAGCAACCGAAGCCACACGTAGAGGCCAAAAGACCTTAGTGGATGATGAATGCTAGGAAACGAATCGAATGAGAAAAGTGCTGGGATCTGCACAGTAGACATGAGGACGGGTCACGTAGAATAAAAATAAAATAACAAACAACTAAACAAATCTTGCACTTGTAAAAGTGGCATGGCCAGGTAATTTTTTAAATCATGGTATTACAACGTTGGTTTGCATGAAAACCCATCAAAATTCTTTTTTGTGAAAGCAATTTCGGGAAATGTAATGCTGTTAGCACTCTCATGACGGCGTCTAATCTCGGGTTTATTATTTATTACAGACTTGATGACCCTTAGTTTTCAGCCTTTGGGCACATGCTGCTTCTTTGAAAATAAACAATAATTTCTGGATAATTTGGAAACTTCACAGGTTGTGCACTTGAACGGATTGTAGGAAAGACTTTGCTCTATCGTTCCATGGGTGTAAATAATATTTATGATAGTTCCCAGGATCGACTTTCTCTTAACCTCGACATTGGAATATGAATGTATCGTTTTCTTGTTCAGCAATCGCGAGGTTTTTAAACAGCATACATTTACTTCCATAGAAAAACACAATACAATACAACGCTAGCTGACGTTTCGGCTGTATCGCCTTCTTCAGAGCCTGGAAGGGCATACTGATATACAATCTACTAGGCCAAACGCTTCAATAACACTTACAAAAAGATGAAGAACTCTCTGGTAATTACCTCCGGGTGTTAATATTTATGATACTATTTACTATATGTTCCCAGCGGTTTCCCGCCTCATAGTGGCTTGGAGGGGCTCCTGGGTGTCGGATTGAGATGTACAGCGGGGCTACTCATCGCCCCGGCAGGGTCTCCCATAAGAATGACTCCGGCGTTTCCATTGGGAAGCCCAGCTAAAAGTAAACCGATAGTATCAAACTAGTCGCGTAGTGGCAAACCTCCCTCTGACCCGCAGTGATGGCCACTGCCTGTGGAGGTGACGACCTGGGGCAGAGTTTAGTCCGGGTGACCTCGAGACTATTGGGAACCACAATGGCTAAACCAGCAAAACTCCGAGGAAATGGAGATTATGCTGGGGCTCGCACAACGAGTGAGGGCGGGCCAACGTCTAACCGTCTAACTGGCCATTCGTACAAAATCAGTGTGACATATATAGGTGTCACTCGCCCTGAAGGTGCTATCTAACACATTCACGACAATGCGCATCGGTTCCAGTGCATTTTCTTTTTGACGGTTTCTATTGCTAAACAAAGTTTTTGCCCAACTTTCCGTATCCAGTCTTCAGCGTTCTCATCATAGGTGTTGTTAGATAGTCCGATAAAAGTCGTAACTACATTTAGTAGTCTAAAAAACCCTTTATGGACCAGCTAGTTCCTTAAACTGCAAATAGTGTTGTTTGTGAGGGGCGTTTAAAGATATCCATGGGCGAGAAAACACTACGAATGAGCAGAAAAGTATGATCCTTCTGTGACACAAATACATAAGTCTCACAACGATTAAATACCTTTGCAATTATGTATCAGCCCTAGCCAATCGCATTGACGGGTGATTGCTGATGGTACTGATCGATAGAACTAGCTGAGAAACAGGCGAAATGAAGGACCCGCAAGGTGTGGTGTTGAACGCGTTAGTCCACGAGAAGGGTAATAGCACGTTCGTTCCCCACCGCAGACACCTGCGGCATGGAGTTTTGCAAATATCTCAGTATCATTATGTATTAGTATTAAAACGTTGTAATAATGTTGGCGACGGGTTATGGTTATTTTATGGAATGGGCGAGTGTAAAAAATACGAAAGGAAACACCTACAAAACTGCAATTTGCAAATGTTGGCAGTAAGGTGGTTGAGCGGAAGGCTACAGTAACATGTAGTGGACAATTGCATAGGCATCATGCTTATCCATGTGATATCGCGAAGTCTCTCCTATTATCCTGTGGTGATCTTAATCCCTAAAGTCTCTAATTGTCGAAAATTTACTGACTGCTGTCGAAAAACCACTAGATCAGCAACCACGTGCGCTCACGTCCTTACGTGCTCGCAATACAGACTTAGGTGTTCCGGTTAATGAGAAGGTCACTTTGTATCTCATTTTTAGGCCAGAACACGGTAGACGATGATCCTCACTGATTTCCGTGAAATCAGCAATCGGTGTAAAATTAGAAATCGTTCCACAGTGCAGATGCAAAGGATGTCGTGCGCAAGAGAACACCACTAATCATCTGACTGACAAGTTTCCAAAGATAGATATAGGTATTATTCCTTATGGTAACCATGAAATATAACTGTAATAAAACGAGTAAAAAAGATCAATAACCACTCCGTAGAATGCATTTTTAACGAATACGACGTGGAAGCACAGTTCCAGTACGATGCTCAGATATTTGCAAAACTCAAAATCTAGGCCAGATTCGTATCCCGATTACTCTTTCCGGGGCTCAAATGTTACTCACTACACCACTGAGATTTGACTTTTCCTCAGCCATTTTTTAACCCTAACGGTGCCATCACTCGTCAATAGGAATGAATGAGATGGTGAGCAACACCTGCACTGAATCCTGTTCAGACTGAGGATATAGTCGAAATCACGATGTTTAACCTTTTTATATGAAAGAAAAGTTCAACATAGTTTTAGCATTTCCGTCTCATCAATGAGCACATGTATAAAACGACTGCTACTTCTCTAAAACGTTCTAAATCCGTAATAAAAGTGTTCCATCATTACAAATACTTGACAGAAAGTCAAACAAGTTCTCAGGTCTTCAGACTTTATAAGTGCGGAGCTAAACATTACTAGGGGCGAATAAACCACAGTATGATCAGGGCTAAACAGACATTATGGAATTTCTCGCTAACCTTTAACTGATTCAGCCAAAACAGAGACTTTTCCGGCTTTCCTAAGCAGGGCGATGTCCTCGTGAAGAGCATGTGGATCATTGCTGCCATCGATTGCAACACCTGTCAATTTTTTCTGTATAGGAAACTGAAAAGGACAAAAAAAAGCAAAGCTCTCGGTATTGATCAATTCATGAGCGATGCGCCATGGAGTCGACTTCATTAAGCGTCGTTGGAGGTGACTGAATACATATCTGGCCTTTACAATGACTCGAGGTGCCCTATTGATGTATCGAGCCAGTGTTGCTATCTTCCCAGACAAGCCTGGTAGCAATTCGCCGAGTCCGAAGAGGTGGAAGGCTTGGTGCGCCTTGGTCGTGGGGATCGATCCCATGTGTACTGTAGGGCGTCCCGACCATTACTCTACACGTGCCCATAGGAAACTGAAAAGAACAGAAAATCACAAAGACGGACCAGCCGAATCATAGCCCCTGTATTCCATTCGCTGAAGTCCTTGAATAAGTATATTAATGATTTCGCATCGTTTCCTTGGTGTTAGATAGTTAAGATATGCGAATATGCCACACATTTGACGTTCGTTACTGAAAACGTCAAGAGTTTTTAAAAATATAATGTCCAGATGTGATATTTACACAGCCAACGATGACGACCATTCATTAACGCAAAAGGGTTGAATAAACAAAGAATAAATGTAGGAAACACGTCAAGCACAAACTGTCCCGATCTGAAAAGTGGCTCGCTCATGACAAAACGTTTGGACAGACTTCCTTGAAAAAAGAAAAAAGAAGAGAAACAGGCTATAGACGCAAGTCGTTAAACACAAAGATTCATGAGCATTGACCCCAAGCAAGAGTCTAAGAGTTTTGAATATTCTATTATGGTAGACGGTGGATGAAATAGAATAAACCCTCAATATCTTCTTGGTTACATTCACATCGATCCTCAGGTTATAAGATGTATTACTTAAAAAACTGAGGTTAAGAGAAGAACCACGAAGTGAATGGCATGGGTGGCTACCGGACCGCCCACATCGAAAACCCGTGAAGACCGAATTC